AACCCGTCCAAGACTACGTCTGAGGTGGGTGGCGGCAGTGGCAGTGATGGCGGGAACGACGATGCAGACGGCAAAGACAAGTCTGCACTGACTCGAGAAGAGCGTGAAGCGAGGTATCGAGAAGCTCGACAGCGTATTTTCGGTAACTCGGAGAACGGGGAAAGTGAATCAACGGATGCCATTGGGTCTGGTGAGGAAAAGGACCTGTCAAGATCTAGCTCCGCTTCTGGCAAGAAGAAGAACAAGAAGCAACGCAATTACGAAGATGACGGATTTGAAGCGCGCTCTCGCTTCAACGCCTACTATCCCCAACAGTATGCTGTCCCCAACTATGGTGGAGATAATGCCGTCTACTATGGTGGTTTCCCCGGACAGATGCCGAATCCCCCGTTCCCCGGCATGAACGCAAACGTCTCACCGCCGCCAACGTATAACAACGGTTATCCAGCAATGATGGCGCCGGATGCGCAACCTCCTTATGGGTGGCCAGGCCAACAATACCAGCCTTCAACGGCACCTATGACTTATCCTGCTTACGCCCCTGTCCAGAATGGATACGATATCTCCGCCGATTTTCAGCGAGGTATGCAATCCTTCCAATCGGTAGGTGTACCTTCCCAGGTGACCCCGAAGATGACCAATCCTCCAATGGCATCCTACCAAGACTCGTATCAACCTCAGCCTCAGCCCATGACTATGAACCCAGGATGGCCACAAATGAACCAACCTACATATCCCATGGCCCAATCTCCTTACGCCCAGAACGGCCCCGGCAATCGACCCATGTCTGCTCCCGGCCAAGGCCCAATCCCAGGATCGTACGCATACGGTCAGTTTCCAGCCTCTCCGTACAACGGGAAGCCGAATCGAAATCAACATCCTCTTCCTGGCAGTTTCAATCGACAACAATTCAATCCACAAAGCCAGACCTTCATACCGGGCACTCGTAACTCGCCATTTCAGTTACAACCCAACATGTCTGGACCGGCTCAAGGCATGAATGGATATGGGAATTATCAAATGCCTACGTCTAACCAGATGGTGCGACCGAGTCCTCAAGTTGCTTACGCACAGACCTTCGGTTCTCCTCAGGGTATACAAAAGAGTAACCCTGTTCCTGCTAAACCTCCGAACCCGTCATTTTCTCCAACCCCCCAGATTGCATCGTCGCAGGCTCCAGCAGTCCCCGCGTCATTGTCACAACCCAGCACCTCATCCGTGCCGACCCAGAGTAGCATTGCTAAATGGGGAACGCCATCTCATCTCCCTCCAAGGCCACCACCTCCGGCGCAAGCGCTACCTCCAAAGTTCAGTATCCCTGGAAACAACTTGACTTCTGCTCCAAGAGTCCCAAACAACGCGGCTCCTGGATATATGGCCAACCCTATGATGATGAGGGCTGGTGCTGGCCTTAGTGTGCCGAACAATGGCTCTTAATGGTTTTATGAATGGCACGATGATTGCGTGGCTCTTTGCATTGCGTCGGTGCTCGTGTTATATTGGTTGCATTCTTGTCTGGTGGATCATGGACGGACTGGCGTGGAATCGGCGTCTAAGGGCGTTCCCCTGTCACATTCGCCCTATGGGGGTGCGTGCCAGGGCTGAAAATGATGGTCTTGTTATTTCACCTCCCTGGGTAAGTACACTCAGTACCACTTTACTCTGGGCTAGGCAGATTGTGTAGATTTGAGCAATTAATACTTGTATGGGAATTGAAGCAACCATGCGTGATGTTGTTGACTGTAACGTCGAACGTATCGCAGCTTCGTTTAGACTGCATAAATATGACATGATGAAAAAAAAGGCCTGTGTCAATCTCGCAAGGCAGGGTGTATACAAAGGTCTGGTTCTCCTACGGTTTCGAAGTCGGTAATCCATAAATATGCAAGTTATGCGCATTTGTTGAAAGGTCACTGCATCATATGCTGACGGCTTGAAAGCTTAAAGCGAGGACTACGGTTGGGGAGGGGGGAGGGGGGAATAGACAAGGTGTTGATGAGCATTAATGTTGCAACTGTTAGGTTATTGCTCGATGTGGATGCTCATTCCGAGGTAGTAAAACGTTGCAAGGCGGTTAAACTCTCAGATACCAAACAGACACACCGACGTACATGGGTAATCGACGGTCGTTAATCATAATTAGCGATGGAACAGTTTCGACCCACAACCTAACATACCACATCTAATTAGCATGCGTAAGTGACATGTGGAGACAACGCACAGCAAATCAAACATAACATCAATAGAGCTGAATTAATGTCTTTTCCATTTGGTTGTAGTTGTACAGCTTTGTTACCAGAAGACCGAGTCGTATCTCAGCGACTTCGTGTCTCATTTCGTTTTCGTTTTACATGACATTCTGTGCCACCGATTCAGGTCCCAAACTCCTTGTCCGCCTATCGAGAGAGGAAATATCTAGTCGAAGGGGTTGGTGCGGGTTCCCCAGTAGGTGAGGAACAAGCTGAGGCCAACCGTCTCGAGAACACGGGCAACGGCGCCAACCGCGATTGTGTCGAGGGGACGCTTCTCGGTGATGACCTGGGAGACAATCTGAGGCGTTGTTAGTGACGTGAAGTGTTATGGGGAGAATAAGTTCTGTGATGACGTACGGAGGGAGCAGCGCTAGCGAAGAAGATGAGAGAACCCAGATACGCGGCGCCCTTGTATGATAGGGTTCCGGTAGCGTTGATCAGAGCACCGACACCGTATGACTGGACGGCAGAACCGAGGAGAGAGCTTCCCCATGAAGCAGCAGCGGTGGCGCCCTCCTTGGACTTGAAAAACTCCTCGCTGGACGAGGCCCGCTGGGCGCGGCGGTGGGCATCACCAAAGACTGGGCCGAGGACGGCGAGGGAGACGGCGTGATTGAAAGCCGTGCCGAGGGCAATGGCAGAGGGCTTGACAGGGGGAAGGTCTTATGAGTTCGTCAGTCGTTGAGGTCTCTCACAAAGCAAGCAGATGTTTCTTGTAGTTGTGTGTCTGGCCATCGGCGATACCTTTACGGCTATATCCAAAAGCTTGGTGTTGTAGTGGAGCGCGAGCGGGGGTTGAGGGTTAAGAGGGTGAGGGAGCTTACAGTGGAGAGACATTGTGGGTGGTGGTGATGAATTGAGTGGGTTCGCAGATGGTGAAGTGTGTGTGAAGTGTTGCGAGGGAGTAAATCGTAGCAGAGACCAGGAATGCAAAGGCTTTTTGTACCTCCAGCGCCAGTGCCAGACCAGATCAATGTCGTGACCTGCCTGTGACGTAGGGGTTGCTGTTGACCTGCCGTCCGATCACGTGCACAACTCAATGTGGACAAGCACACCCGCACTTGGTCCAACTTCAATGTTCCTTGACGCACGACAAGAATCTGCCATGTGTAATTGCCCTTTGTATTGGAGCGGGCAGAGAATTGCATTTACTCCGCAGAGGGAACTGGATCCTCATGGCCTTTTCATGACGTCAGTTGCCTCCATGTCCCATGTCGCCCAGGCCCGAGCGCCTCTCATTTACGATGTGGGCTCATTTGGGTTAGACCGCTTCGTGTACAACATTGCAACAACCAGACATCTGGCGTACAGAGTACAGACGACCACCTGTGGAACCCCCTTCCCCCTCTCGCCGTTGTTCATCATCGCCCGTCGCACTGATTTGCGTCGTTGGATATACATACCTTTGTAGTAGTGTCGACGTCAGTTCGCTCCTGCATAGCGCAATCATCACTTCGGTTCAGCCGCACTACATGAACCCTTTTTCTGCCGCCATGATGTTCAAACGGGCAACGGGTACTTTTGTTTTTGTCCTAATCTTCATCTCCTTGTCCGCCCTCTTTACATCGAGTTTGAACCCCACACTATGGCTGTCTCAGGCACTGTCATCTAGACCGCCGCCAGCCGAGCCGAGGACGACCCACATCGTGCTCTTCCAGTTCAAGCATGGTACTGATTCGGTCACCATCAAAGAGGTGCATTCAGCTTATTACTCAGCGGCTTTCGCAGGCTCACTTTTTAATACCACAGATAACCTCCAAGATGCTGGGATTGAGGAAGGCGTGCGTACATCCTGTCAGCCAAAAATCATACATTTTGTCAATTGCTGGCGGGACCGACATTTCCATCGAAGACTCGCAGGTGAGACGAAAGCTTCTCACTCATGTACTTGAAATAATTATCGGCTATACATACTGACATGCCACAGAACGGCATCACGCATGCCTTTATACTCCAATTCCACAACAACGAGGACAGAGATTATTATGTGGACGAGGATCCCGCGCATCAAGAATTCAAGACTGCTGCAGGAGCTGTACTAGAGAAAGCTCAGGTCATTGATTTTCGCGATGGCATCTTTACGAATCCGCACTTCTCTTGAGCATCTCAAGGGCCCATTTTCTGGTCAGTTCGTGGTGGGTCGGTGTGGAGTGGGGCAGAGTCGAGCCCATTTGAGAGGCCATCAACTCACATAACTATCTGTTGTATATAATGCGCACATGGCGAGATACCCAAGTTGAGCTATTTGCTTTGACTGCACCGAGACTTTTTGCGTGGGTCATCACTGGAGTTTGGGGTTGCTGTGAGGAATTGCGGTGTAGTGCGAATATGTATTCCACCTACAAAGTATACTCTGGTTTGACCTATCGATGCAGTTTGTGCGGGGCGCAATACATTTGCCAGCAATTGCTTCGCAGACCAAAAGGCTCGACATGTAATACATTCCACCTCTCTCTACATGCAGCGCACGTATGTAGACCACCAATGAACACTTCGCCACACCATCCACCCAATCAAGTCCCAATCCAGCCTCAGCCCACCCCGCATCCAAACCCCCTAGCGTATCTCGCCTACCCATCCCAATCACGCCCCACACCCCACAACCCGAAACCCACAACCCACTCCAATATTTCCGCTCACGATCAGCATTAATATCCTATATAATCTCCCTAATTTCCCAAACACAACATCTCAACAGCAGACCAAGCACAAAGCCCACTGAGCTCTACTACACAAGTATCTCAATCATCCTCCGTGGCGCAATTGGCTAGCGCGTCCGACTGTTAACATTCGACAATAGCAATATTAGCCGAGTTAGCGATCGGGAGGTTCGTGGTTCGAGCCCACGCGGGGGAGTAATCCAGCGATTCTTTTTTTGCTGTTTTTTTTTTCTTTGAGGTAGTCGGTCTGGTCTAGGTACCAGGGTGTGTTGGAGAAGGAAATGTTAATCGAGCAGATGCATGTAGTATGTATATAGATAGGCACAGAAGTATTACTTGCAGATGCGATGCGATCTTGTATAACAATGAACCAAGCCAAGGATAAAATCTGCGCAACATTACACTGTCTGCGAGAACATATTACTGTTGTGCAGCATATGCAAAAAAAGATATTCGTCAAATAGGCAAGTAAACGGCACGACATTTTTTACCTAAGCGTTTCAACTCTATCAACTAACATAGATAGCTGGGTTAGTTAATTAGTAAGCATTTGTCTTCTCTGTCAAGTTCGAAACTAAAAAAAAAGGAAACAATATTCGATAAAATTAATTGGCTGCTAAGAAGTAACTAGCAAAGGAAACGGGGCTGCTGTTGTCGTTTGTGTATGGATTGGATGGTTTGGTTTGGTTTGGTTTGGTTTGGTTTTTGGCACGGCGCCCTTGGTGTGGTGTAAGGGTATAGCGAATATAGTAAGTAGACTAGGCCAGACTATTCTTTGCATATTACCTGTTGTTGATGATTCTCCTTCTTCTTCTTCTTCTTCTTCTTCTTCTTCTTCTTCTTCTTGTATGTAGTACGTGTATGTATGCCACCTGTATATGAAAAGGTCATGCACGAATAGGGTGTGGAAATGTATACATACATACACATGCCGACTCCGCACATCCTACTCAGCTATTCATAAATACACTCCTCGCTATTCCTGCCAACACTACCACCCCTTCAACGGCCAAGGATGTGATTTGTTTGTGTCGTACGCGGCCTGCCCGGGATCACGTACCAGTTCTTTGGTTGATTGTTTGGTACGAGGCGACGCGGATGGTTGGTGATTGTGGTAGTACCGGTGCGGAAGGGATAGATGGGATGGGCGTGCGGAGGATCGAAGAGAATGCCGGGAGGCTCGAGGAGAAGAAGAGGGATGCGGAGAGAGAGAGAGAGAGAGAGTTGGGGGTTTGGATGATAGGGAGGGGGGTTGGTTACCAAGGGTACGTAGGGAAGAGATATCT